CCATGCAGAACCTCAACGACCGGCTGGCCTCCTACCTGGACAAGGTGCGCGCCCTGGAGGAGGCCAACGCCGACCTGGAGGTGAAGATCCGCGACTGGTACCAGAGGCAGAGGCCCGCTGAGACCAAGGACTACAGCCCCTACTTCAAGACCATCGAGGACCTGAGGAACAAGGTGTGTGGACCGGGCAGCAGGACTTGCCATTCTAGCTCCCTCGCTCTGGAGCGATAGATGCCTCAGGCCACTGGCATCTTTAGATTACTAGACCGGGCAGACGCCAACCCCGCATCCCTTCTTCTGGCTCTGGACGCCCCCTGCAGAGCCGGTCAGTGTCTCCCCGCTTTGCTCATGCCCTTCGGGGCTCCAGACTGCAGACCGCGAGAGCCTGGGGATTCCTACCCTTACATTTTACAGGGGAAGGAGTCAGAGCTTTGAGAGGTGCTGTGGGCTGCGAATCAATGGCAGAGCTGAGGCCAGAACCCGTGTGCCCACTTGCTAATACACGAGGCAGCTACCTGTTCCCCAGCACAGGGGAGGAGCGAGGCTGTAACGGGACCAGGCTAGACACCCAAACCACTCATTAGCTCATTAGTCTGGGCTGTGGCGGCTGCCGCCCGTGAGCCCTGGCACCGGCGCCCCTCCCCACCGGCAGGCGGGCAGAAAAACCCCAGAGAGGCAATCAGCGGAGCCCCGCCTTACGTGTCCTGCACAGGAGGGAGCCTGGGGGACTTGTATCACCTGACTCCAGCCCCAACCCCCTGCTCCAACCTCACCCTGGGAGCCCTCCCCGCTGATCCTGCTTCCTTTCGTGCCTGGCTCTGATGCCTCATGTGGATTAGGTAAATTAGATGGTGAGGGAGAGGACTGCAGCCAATCCGGGGTTCAGTATTTCCTCTGTTTCTTCTTTTCTCATCCCTTGTGCTAGTGGGGTCTCCTCTTTTGGGAAAGCCACACCTGAGGTCCCATGCTCTGCGAGCTTAAAAGGAACGTGTGAAGATGGGCAGGTTGGCCTGTACAGAAAGAGAAGAATTCAGACCAGGAAGGGAGACTTTGGGACCTTAGGTCACTCCTCCACTCTGTGGGTAGGGGAACTGAGACCCTGAGACTCATCAGTGGTAGAACCAGGACTATAACTCAAGGGCTTTTGGTTCCAAGGCCAGGGCTCTTTCTATCCATTTTTTTTCTGATCCGGAGTCAGCAAAGTCGTGGGTCGAAGCTGGGCCATCAGGGGTTACCCTTTAGGTTGCTGTGGCAAAGGTTTTTGGGAGGAGGGGAGACTCAGGTGAGAGCAGGAAAGCAAAGGCCTGATGTATGCAGGCTGCAGTGAGGTCTGGCTAGTGACGTCCATTTGGCTGACGACCTGTGCCCTCTCTACCTGCAGATCCTCACGGCCACCGTGGACAATGCCAATGTCGTCCTGCAGATTGACAATGCCCGCCTTGCTGCTGATGACTTCCGCACCAAGTGAGTTCGCAGCAGTGACTCAGGATGTCCAATCTCCCCAGGGTGGGGTATTTTTGGGGCAGCGTCCCCTAAACAGGGCTGATGAAAACCCCTTGGGGTGCTTGTAAAAATACAAAACTCCTGGGCCCCAACCTGGAGTTCTGATTCAGTTATTCTTAACAGGCTACCTGAGTGATTCTGATCCATGGCCAGATTTGGGTGCCATTGCTTTAAGGGAGAGGGGTTCCCCACTCCTCCACCTGCCCCTGAAGTGTAGGAGGCAGTCACATTTGGAGGCCTGTGTGCTATTGGTTGTGAGGCCAGAAGCGTCTCCCCTCCCTGAATTCTGCAGCCTAATGAACTGCCTTATTCCCTGCCCCCAGGAGTGTTCAGATCTGAGTCCTCAATGGGTGCTGTGTCCAACCACGCCATTTTCAAAATTGACTCCCTAAACCACCCACAGGGTGCCAGCTATGGGAAGAAGCTGCAGGGGGCAGAGAACAAAGCCTTCAGTGTGGCCAGGATGGATGTCCCATTCTTCTTGTCTTGGATCATTCCAGGTACGAGACTGAGCTGAACCTGCGGATGACCGTGGAGGCCGACACCAACGGCCTGCGCAGGGTGCTGGACGAGTTGACCCTGGCCAGGGCCGACCTGGAGATGCAGATCGAGAGCCTGAAGGAGGAGCTGGCCTACCTGAAGAAGAACCACGAGGAGGTGAGAACCAGCTTAGAAGATGAAGCTGGGAGGGAAAGGATGGGATTGAGATGGGGTGGCGGTGGTGTGGGCAATGCTGAGGCCGGGATCACCGGAGAGGAGGGAACCCCAACTGATTGCCATGTCGCCATGGCTCCTGAGTGTGGACCGTTCTTTGGTTGTGCAGGAAATGAACGCCCTGAGAGGCCAGGTGGGCGGAGACGTCAACGTGGAGATGGATGCCGCCCCCGGCGTGGACCTGAGCCGCATCCTGAACGAGATGCGCGACCAGTACGAGAAGATGGCGGAGAAGAACCGCAAGGACGCCGAGGACTGGTTCTTCAGCAAGGTGGGTGTCATCCCGGGGGCAGGGGGAGGGGTGGGGAAGGGACCCAGGAGACCCGCCTTCCAGGAACTTCTAGTGTGAATGACTTTTTTTTTCTCTTCTGCAGACCGAGGAGCTGAACCGCGAGGTGGCCACCAACAGCGAGCTGGTGCAGAGCGGCAAGAGCGAGATCTCCGAGCTCCGGCGCACCGTGCAGAACCTGGAGATCGAGCTGCAGTCCCAGCTCAGCATGGTGGGGGAGCTGGCAGGCTTGGATCTGATCCAGGACTGGGAGGGAGGGAGTGACTACCCTCACTGATCCTTGATCTTTCCCTCTGTCACAGAAAGCATCTCTGGAGAACAGCCTGGAGGAGACCAAAGGCCGCTACTGCATGCAGCTGGCCCAGATCCAGGACCTGATCGGCAACGTGGAGGAGCAGCTGGCCCAGCTGCGCTGCGAGATGGAGCAGCAGAACCAGGAGTACAAGATCCTGCTGGACGTGAAGACGCGGCTGGAGCAGGAGATCGCCACCTACCGCCGCCTGCTGGAGGGCGAGGATGCCCAGTGAGTGCACTGCCCTCCTTCCCAGTCCTGCCCCCACTATTCACCTGCTGGATCCCATGTGTCTAATGATCTTGCCCTTTTCTGTCTTCATAGCCTCTCTTCTTCCCAGTTCTCCTCTGGCTCTCAGTCGTCCAGAGACGGTAAGACTTTCCTTCTCATCAAGACTGGACTTGTGACCACTTCCTGTCTCCCAGCAGGTCCAGAGAATTGGCTTTTTGAGGGGTTGAGTTAGAGTTTTCTCACCCAAGATCCCTTATAAACCTACTTGGGTAGAAGAAGCCATTTTATAAACCTTCCTTAGGGCTAGGAGTTAGTGGCCTCCACTTTTTATTTCTGTCACCTGGTGTCTGTGGCAGACTCCAATGTTCTGATGGTCAGCACCACGGACAGGACACCACATGGGTCGTCCCTTCAAGACCAGTCCACTTGGGTTGATCTGGACTGAACCAAGCTGATCTGAGTTCTTAGGAGCCTCCAGTTTGAGGACACAGACTCTGTCCTACCTTCGGGAGCTCTAGGCTGAAAAAAACTGTGCAGATGGGATCAGTGCTGGGATAAGAGCAGTGAGTGAAGAGATAATCAGGGGAGAGGGCAACAGGGAGATAGTCTGCTTAAGTCTTCCCAACTCCCTGGTCTCCCCACTCCTGATTTCTCCATTGCCTGTCCTCTGCTGGTAACACCTTCTCTCCCCTCTTCCCCAGTGACCTCCTCCAGTCGCCAGATCCGCACCAAGGTCATGGATGTGCACGATGGCAAGGTGGTGTCCACCCACGAGCAGGTTCTTCGCACCAAGAACTAAGGCTGCTCAGCATCGCTCAGGCCTAGGAGCAACCCCCCCACCCCCTGCTGCTTCCCCGCCGTGTGGATACAGACCACACTAGGGAATCCCCTTTCTTGCCCCCCAAGAACTTCACACTTGAGTCCTGCCTCACCCTTGCCCTCTCCTGGCATTCAATAAAGCTTCATTATCTGAGTTGCACAGCTCCTGCCTCTACCTGGTCATTGTCAGGAGTGGAGGTGGGGAGAAAGCGGGGGAAGCCTCTCTTTGAAGCCTGTCATTAACACCTGGCTGTGGCCTCTGGGACTGGGAAAAAGGGCTTGGGGGTGGACTGGGCTCAGGTCCTGGAATGGCTTTCACCATCTCAAAAGATAGAGATGGATGTGTGTACTAGGTCGTTTGTGGTGTCTCCAAGGTCATGGAGGCACATTCATTCATTCACTCACTCACTCACTTATTTGTTTACTCATTTATTTATTAGTTTGTTTATTCACCAATATCATTGAGTGCCTTTTGTGTGCCAGGCACTGCAGCAGGTTAAAGATTTTTTTTTAACAGTTTTGTCATCAGGGATTTCTTTGAGAATATACTGAAAGCTATAGATATTCTTTCCTCCCCCAGCCCGATAAGCACACACACACTTGCACATAATTCATGAGGTTCCTGGGTCCCCTAAGGCTCATCAGTGGAGGTCCACAAACCCAGTAAGAACTCACGCTTTACTGAGACGTTGTCTCCTTCCATCCCACCTGCTCTTGTCTCTAGAGCTGGGATAGAAACTGCCTGCTTTCAGTTGACGTAGGTAGGGCAGGTTGGTTACCATCTCCATGCCTCAGTTTTCACATCCATAAAGTGGGCACAATGACGGTACCTACCTCATGGGCTTTTTGTGAGGATTTTCTGGAAGAATGCACGTAAGGCCACCAGCACAGAACCTGGCACAGTGCAGGCTCAGGCACAGCTGTGAGTAATACTGGGGGAGCTACCTCTCGTGTGTGGTGATTTGCCATCCATGGTGAGGGCATTTTTAGAGACTTTGGGAACAGACAGACTGGATTCTAACCCTGACTCTGTTCTGTATTATCTCTGTGATCTCGGAGAGTCTGTTTCCCCACTTATATAGTAAGCGTGGGGAACTCTGTTTCTTGCAGTTAATATGAGAATCCAGCAAGCAAATGCACAGTAAGAACCTGGGCTGTAGGTTGCAGGAGACTTCTCTGGTGGAAGTGTCTTTTTTTCTTTTCTGTAGGGAGCTGGAAAAGGAGGAGGAAGGGGAAGATCATCTGAGTGCTAGTGAAAATTCCAGAGGTGGGTAGGGCTCATTGCCCGGAGCTAGGAAAGAGTTGACTAGTCACTGTGTCAGTTTCAAGAGCTCATTCATTTGGCTCATTCATTTGGGTGAATGAAACTTCTCCGGGGAGCCAAGGATGGGGCATGGGTTAAAGAAAGACTTAGTCCTTGAGAGCAAGAAACCTAAAAGCCTAGGTTTTGGAATTAGACACCCTGAGTTGGAGTCCCAGCTCCCACACTGACTAGCATGGAAGAGTTTGGACAAGATCCTCTTTTACAAAATGAGGAATGAAAACGCTTACCACATAAGGCCAATGGTAGATAGAATGATCTCATGCAGGCAATGAGTTTAGCTTTGTGGTTGGCACATAGTCAGTGCTCTATAAATGGTACAGTAAAAGGGTGAGTTGTTAGGAATTGGAATGAAGTGATGTTGATTTCTCCTCACCTCATCTTCACCCCAGGGAAGAGAGGCCTGCTTTGTGCTCCTGAAACTCTGGGATGTCTTTTTACCTGAGTTTTGTCATTAGGAAGAGTTTACCTGGGGTGATCTCTGGGGGAAGGTGTGTCATTTTGGGGACGAATGCTTAGTTTTGGAGGTATGTGAGGATAGGCCACTCAGGGAGGAGGGTGTTTGGAAAAGTTTCCTTGGATCCTGGGAAGGGGTAGTTTGGTGGTCCTAAGAATGATAGTGCCCTGGTGCAGAGGGCCACACGTTACCCCCGAGGATGGTGGACTCTAGGGTCTAGTGTTCCCAGCTGGACGATGAGCTCATATGTGGCAGAAACCCGGGGAAAAGTTCACATTTGGGAGGCCACACGGACCTGGACGAAGAGCAAAACCTTTCAGCGGTTGCCAACGAAGACTGAAGCCTAGAATGTTCCAGATTGCGTAAGAATCCCCAGACATCACTCTGTCTTGGAGGTGGTGGCAGATTAAAGCTTCTCCACCCCCAAAAGAGATTTGCTTTAGAGGAATATAGAATGTGAGATTTCTTAGACTTGAAGGTGGTGGGGTGAGCTTCCTCCTCTCTTGACTGGTTGCCACTGACGTTTGGAGGGAATATAGGGGGTGTGGGCTTGCTTGACAGTAAAGATGGCGGCTGGAGGCCACCTGGCTGACAGCAGGGTCAGAAGTGGGAAGCGAGGAGCTCAAACATGGGCCTCGAGGGACTTCCACCCTATCTGGGCCCCAGAGATAGAGAGCAGGTGGAGCTGCCGTACCAGAGTCCCTCATGGAGGCCACCCCTCCTTGGGGTCCCCTGCCATCATACCCCACTGGGAAGAGCAGAGTCAACACTTTGGGCCCTGCTGCTGACCAGTGCTCTTGCCCACAAGGCCTGGCACCACAAGAACACACCCGAAGACCTGGGTCAGCCACTCTGACAATGGCGAGACTGCCTCCCCTCCCACCACCCCAGATCGGAATGACAGGAAACCGAGAAAGTGACTCCACAGCACAGTCTAGTGGAGGTAGGAGGAATGGCCTCTTAGAGGGCCGGGGCAGGTCACGTGACCCTCTGGCTCCACTTCCGCAATTTGGGAAGAGCGATCCTCTCTCCCCGCCCTCGCACAGCGCACAGCGCAGAAGGGCAGTGCTGGGAGAATCAGGGAGACGGCTCTTCCAACCTCCTCAACTTAGGGCCACAGTGGCCTGCTCTAGGTCATACAGACTGAAAGTGGACCGGGTGCTCAGGCCTCTGGTCCCTGACCAGGTTTGCGCTCCATTCCTGTGTGTTCTCTCTCAGGGAGGGGATGGAGCTGAGAGCCCCAGGGGACGAGCATGAATTTTTTTCCCAACTCACTCCGAGGTTTCCGTCTTATGGGATAGGCCCACCTTGAAACTCTGGGTCCTCGTTAGTTTGTGGGAGAGACTTGACTTTTTATTGTGAGAGGAACTTATCTGTGCCCTGGGAACTCTACAGGCCCAAGTGGCACATCTCCCTATGGTTATCGGATCTGGTGAAAGGCCCCTCCCCGAGGCCACAGATGACCTGGTTTGGGCAACGTAGCCAACTAGTCCTATAGGCTAGCGTCAGAGGGGGCAGCCCCAAGGAAGCCTGAGGCCCCGGAGGCTGGATGTCCTGATGTCCCGGCCTGGCCCACCTCACTGAGCTTAGATGTTGCCACAGAGGGGACAAGAGGACGCTAGGGACTCCAGGGCAATGGCTTGGCTTCAGGCAGATAGGACAAACACGAGCAGCTCCTCCTTTGTCCTTTGCTGGGCCAGCACTTTCCTGCCGGGGCCTTCCTGTGAGGCACTATTAGCTGTAGGGCCAGACCGGGAAAAGGAAGCCTTTTCCTTTGAGGTATTCTGACGAACTTTGGGGGCATTTTGGCATGGGAGAAAGGGGAAAAAGACAAGAGAGATAGAAACAAATGCATACAGACAGAGTCAGAGAGAGAGAGAGACAAGATAATGAAGGCCTTGGGCTGGGATTAAGCAGTGAGGATCCTCCCTCCCTCCCTCCCTCCCCCCTTCCTTCCCTCCTTCCTTCCCTCCCTCATACATAGTTGTTGAAATTTACATGTGGAGGAACTTGGGGGTGAATTGAGACAGACGGAAACAAGGAGAGAGACAAAGTGGGGGAAAGCAGAGAGAGACCCAGAAGGCGTGTGAGGTTGGGAGAGGGAGCCCTGAGCCCGTGTTCATCTTAGCTCCCACTCACGGCAGGACAAACCGTGTTCCGCCTTCTGTTTGTTTAGCTCTGTGACTGTGGCCAAGACACTCAGCCTCTCTGAGCCTCAATTTAGACACCTGTAAAATGATTTCAAAGTTAGTATCTACCTCATTCAACCATTGTGAGGATTAATTGTGAAGATTACCATAGGGCAGGCAAAGCAATGGGGGTCTTGCCTGGAGCCGTGGAAGTTCCTGATGGAAGAAATCATGATCCTCCAACCTTTGTGTCCTCTCCTTCCCGGTCCCACTGAGCA